CGAGGGTGGGGAGACACTGCCACAGGTTGCCCAGGGAGGCTGTGGCTGCCCCAGCCCTGGCAGTGTTCAAAGCTAGATTGGACCAAGCCTTGAACAACCTGCTCTGGTGGGAGATGTCCCTGCTCAGGGCAGGAGGCTGGCACTGGATGATCTCTAACCTCCATTTCAACCCCTTAACACGCTCTGATTCTATGACCTCCACTCTCCCTGTGAGCTCAAGGCCATTGAGACAGTGAGGAGATCACTCACAGCAGAGCTGTGAATGCCCCAGGGTTATGACAAAGGCTAATATCCCCAAGGGAACACAACAAAGACAAGCCAAAAGCCCCTGCAGTATGCTGCTGCAACTCGTGTCTCCTCCCCGGGGTGAAAATAGCAGCTGTGTAACCCTAGCAGCTTGGGGATCCTTCTGGAGAGGCTTACGTGAGCCCCTGTTGAAGGAGCTGAGTGTCCCTGCTTGGATTAAACGTGCAGGAGCTTAGCCCTGGCGAGGAGACAGGACCACAAGTAAACCAAGACTGAGCCCTGGCCAAACAGCTGTGGGTGCGGAGTGCTGGGAGCACTGGGAGCTCTGGGAGTGCAGGACATGCTCCCCAGCCCAGGTGTCCCCTCGGGCAGCCGAGGCGGTGCCTGCTCTGCTCTCCTCCATTCACTGCAGGGCTCTGTCCCCATCCCTCTGTGCTGCCACTTGGGCTCATCAGTCTTGGCGGGCAGAGAAACCTGAGCTTGGCCAGGAATGTTAATTCATGGATGTTCTCCCCAGCTCCATAGTGCCTGGCTCTGCAGATGGTGCTGGCCCAGGTCAGTGACCCTGGGGAGGTGTTGTGGTGGGAAGGTGATTTTCCTGCCCTAGTTCCCTGTAAAACGCAATCATAGAATCATAGAATCAACCTGGTTGGAGGAGACCTCCAAGATCATCAAGTCCAACCCTACCATGGTTACTAGACCATGGCACATCCAGTCTCATCTTGAAAACCTCCAGGGATGGTGAATCCACCACCTCTCTGGGCAGCACATTCCAATGCCTGATCACTCTGTAAAAAATCTGTTCCTAATATCCAACCTAACCCTCCCCTGGAAGAGCTTCAGGCTGTGCCCTCTTGTCCTGCAGCTGGTTGCCTGGGAGAAGAGACCAACCCCCACCTGACTCCAACCTCCTGTCAGGGAGTTGTAGAGGGTGCTAAGGTCTCCCCTGAGCCTCCTCTTCTCCAGGCTGAACAATCCCAGCTCCCTCAGCCTCTCCTATGGCACTTGTGCAATTCCCACTCCAATCCTTCCTCTGGTTTCTCCTTGTCCCTCTCCCCTTCCCAAAGCCTCTCAGCTGTTGGTGAGCTCTGTGTGGTGTCTCTGCTCATTAAAATCCCCTGGGATGCTAGAAATGAACTAGTGAGAGGCACAAAATGCAGCCCCAAAGAAAATGTGAAGACCAGAAGGCAACAGATGGGGCAGAGAGGAGAGGATTCCCACACCAAACACATCCTAGCACTGCTGTGGTGGCCACGAGAGGCAGTGGGACACTGGGGGGTCATTTGGTTCTCAGCAGGGCCAGGCAGGGACACAGGCATGGGGAAAAGGGAATGGGAAAGGAGGGAAGTGATGTTTGCTGATGGGAAGGGGAAGGGGAAGGGGAAGAAGGGGAAGG